GGAGGGGGAGAGGGAGAGAGAGAGAGAGAGAGAGAGAGAGAGAGAGAGAGAGAGAGAGAGAGAGACCTTCTTCCTGTCTAACCTGTGCTTTTATTGCCTTCCTGTTCTGCCTTTTCATTGGCTCTAAGCCCAGCCACATCACTTTCTTGTCACTCCCTGTCTACACAGACTTCCAGGTCTCTATGGTTGGTATTAGGATTAAAGGCGTATGTCACCACCCTTGGCTGTATCCTTGACCCCACAGAAACTCTACCTACCATGTGATTGGATTAAGGGCCTGTGCTACCACTGCCTGACTTCTGTTTATGGCTCGCTATGTGACCTCTGATCTCCAGGCAAACTTAATTAACATACAAATAAAATATCACATTTCAGCACAAATAAAATATCACCACAGGTCAGAGGCAGAGATGGCTCTGTTTTTAGGGCCAAACTGTCAGCAGCAGTAAGTTTGCTGCCTTAATTTTAAAAGCCCTTTTTTGTCCTGTCCTAGTTAAGTTGTTTGTGTGAAAAATGTGCAGTTGGGTTCCGGAGGGTGCTGGGGATCAGTTCCCCTGTGGTTTTTCCTGTTTGGAAAGCAGTGTCCCGCTTGCCTCTGGATACAGAGTAGCCGTTCCTTGACCCCTGCTGTTGGAGGGGTATATATATAAGCCCATATTGGTACGAATAAAGAGAGCTGCTTCTCTGATGAACTGAGACTGGGTGTCTAGAGTGCTGTATAACCTCGGCATCCCTCACCAGATTTCATACTCCAGACCCATACACGTCATAGCACCAAACTGTATTTTCTTTTACTGGCCCTTGTAACACCAACCTTAAAATACCTTATTAATAAAAAATAAAAAAACCTGGAGCCAGATATTGGGGTGAAAGCTGAAAGATCAGAGAATCGGAACAAGCCAGCCACGTTCCTTACTTCTATGAACTCCTCAGCCTCAAGAGAGCGAGTTCCTGTTTACTCACGCCTTACATGCCTTTCTGTGCCCTGCCATCTTCCTTCCTTCCTAGTGCTGGGTTAAAGGTGTGTGCCACTATGCCTGGCTCTGTTCCCAGTTTGGCCTGGAACTCACAGAGATCTAGATGGATCTCTGCCTCCCAAATGCTAGGATTAAAGGTGTGTGCTACCACTGCCTGACCTCTATGTTTAATATTGTGGTAGGCTTTGTCCTCTGATCCTGGGCAAACTTTATTGGGGTACACAATATATCACCACAGGCCCTTTTCAGCTTTTTGGCTCTAGTTCTAAGGCCAGGGCATATTTATTTCACTGGCTCTGATTCGAGGGACAAAGTATGTTTCTTTGGCACTGGTTTCAGAGTCAGGGCATGTTTCTTAGGTTCTGGGTTCAGGGGGGACAAAGTGTTTCTTTCACTGAGTCAGGTCTCAGATCTAGGGTGTGTTTTTTTCACTGGCTCTGGGTTCAGGGCCAGGGTGGATTTCTTTGGCTGGCCCCTTTTCCCTACAGGGATCAGCATGGTCTAGTTAGGGGAGGGATGGAGAGGGAGAGCAATGAAAGAGATATCTTGATAGAGGGAGCCATATGGGGTTAGGGAGAAACCTGGTGCCAGGGATATTCCCAGGAATCCACAAGGATGACACCAGCTCAGACTCCTAGTCAATAGTGGAGAGGGTGTCTGAACTGGCCATCTACTGTAATCAGATTGTTGACTACCCTAATTGTCATCAGAGATCCTTTATCCAGTTACTGATGGAAGCAGATGCAGAGATCCATAGCCAAGAACTGGGCCGAGCTCTGTAGTCCAGCTGCAGAGAGGAAGGAGGGATTAAATAAACAAGGTGGATCAAAATCATGTTGAGGAAACCCACAGAGACAGCTGACCTGAGCTCCTGGGAGCTCATGGACTCTAGACCGACAACTAGGGAGCATGCATGGGACCAACCAAGACCCTCTGCATGTGGGTGACAGTTGTGTAGCTTGGTCTGTTTGTGGGGCCCCTGGCAGTGGGACCAAGATCTGTCTCTGGCATATGAGCTGGCTTTTTGAAACCTATTCCCTATGATGGGATACCTTGCTCAGCCTTGATGTAGAGGGGAGGAACTTGGTCTTGCCTAAACTTGAAA